GTCAATAAATGCAACACTTTTGCATATATTATACATTCACATCAGTCCCTAACCCTCAAGGAGTGTACAATACAAGGTCCCTAACTCACATTCATACATACACATACTGGGGCTATTTTTGGACAGGAAACAATTAACCTACCAGCATGTCTTTGGAGTGTTGAAGGAAACTGGAATACCTGGAGGAAACACAAACAGGCACAGGGCGCACACACAAACTCCGTGCAGGTAGTGCCATGGTAGTTATTCGAAAGCCTTTAGTGCTGCTAGGCAGAAGTGCTAACCACTTAGCCACTGTGCTGCCCTATGGGGCTGAATATATGGGCATGTCTCTTACTTGATTGTGCCATCCCTTTGCTGAATATTTGGGGATATCTTTTTACTGGATTGGGCCATCTGTTTGCTGAATATATGGGGATGTCTGTTTACTGGATTGGGCCATCTCTTTGCTGAATATATGGTGATGTCTCTTTGCTGGATTGGGCCATGTCTTTGCTGAATATATGGGGATATCTTTTTACTGGATTGGGCCATCTGTTTGCTGAATATATGGGGATGTCTGTTTACTGGATTGGGCCATCTCTTTGCTGAATATATGGTGATGTCTCTTTGCTGGATTGGGCCATGTCTTTGCTGAATATATGGGGATGTCTTTTTACTGGATTGGGCCATCTCTTTGCTGAATATATGGGGCCATCTCTTTGCTAAATATATGGGGCCATCTCTTTGCTGAATATATGTGGATGTTTCTTTACTGGATTAGGCCATTTCTTTGCTAAATATATATGGATGTCTCTTTTCTGAATATATAGGGCTGTCTCTTTGCTGCTGTTTGGCTAAAATATAATTCCTTACAGTTAAATCTTGAAAGCACTGATGACTTGGAATACACTTTTCATTTTCATATACTGGATTAAGTTGTAATTAAGAGTGTTAGAATAAATGTGGGTGCACTGAAGGACTTGGTGGGATGGCAAGTGGGAGGGCCCTGAGGAATGTTGGTCAGGCACGGGGGGTGGAGTGGGGTGGGGTGGCTAGGACTAAAGCTGTGTAAGGGGCCCCAAAATGTCTGATGGCTGCCCTGTCCATATCTTATACTATATCTTATCACATGATTCTAAGTAAGCTATCATCAGATTCATGTAATGTCCTATAGGGGGGGTGCATATGCTTATAAAAAAAATAGAAACCATCAGAAAGTATATTTGCATATCAGAGTTCAGAGAACTCTGATAAGTACTGGAGGAGCTCATATGAAGTTTAGCTGTAAGTCTCTGAAGCTCATGCAGTCAGTAGTCACATTTAGAGTTTCACCCTACAGGCCCCCTTTCTGACCATGCTTCAAGACTGTCCCATAAAAAAAAAACTGAGGGGATTCATGACTGAGATGAAGAATAGACCCCAGAAAGAGTTAAAGTAGAACAATAGGCAAAACGTATTGTTTTCATTTAGGAAAGAGTAGGGGAGGGTTACAACCTCTGTCAGATTATTTTTTGCCATATGTGTCCCATTAGAAAGCTTTACCTTCACTTCCTATCCCATAGCCAAAATAGAAAGTGAGAGAAAATCCCTACAAATTAAGGGAATTCCTTGGGGACCTAAGGTTTTCGGAACTAGTGTCCTCATTGGAAGATTTCCCCTCTAATACTTTTCTGGGGACAACCCAAAATTTGGGGTTTCTTTTACTTTCATTTCGATGATAACAGTAAACAGAACAAATAGAGAAGGTGACTCTTCCTAAGGGGGGCACAGAGGAGAATAAAAACAGACAGGTGTTCTAATCCATTTCTACTCTATCCAAAACTAAATGAAAAGTTTTGACTTAAGTTATATTTTAATTGTAAGTGTAAACTTGTATGTGGGTTAGGGAGCCTTTGGGAGTCTGTGTAAAGCAAGGAGTCAATCTGGTGGTATGGTGATGCCCTTGCTGGTGTCAATTAATTTAATGGGGACTTGGTGTTTTGGAAGTCAACTATAGTCAATTTTGGAGCTGTCCTCAAACCATTGGGATATGACTGGGTGGATTTCAGTAAAGACATTTGGCTAGTGGACACCAAACACCCCCTTTATGTAACTTACATGTGATATGGCACCTGTTAACTGGGACCGCTAACAGTTCTTTTTAAATAAAAGGCTGCTGTGGCCATTAAAACTCATATTGTGTAGTCCATGTGTGACTGTTTTTTTTCGTCAAGCGGACAGCAATTAACACATCTATCAATCATGTTATATCTAAGTTATGGGTGTAAAATTATTGCATTGCAGATTTTTTTTTCCCCACAGTATCCTGTATTCTTTTTAACTTGGTGTATCTCTGCTGGTCAGCCATTTTAACCATTCACAGGACCATTCACACTGATCTGTGAATGGAAGATTAAAAGACTCAGCTGCCACTGCAGCAGAGGGACTTGTAGATCTCAATGGATGACAAGTCTGGTAACATCATCTAACTCATAGTGCTTGGTTTACTTCCTACATTTCCATAAGGGTAAATCTGTACCTCCTTTTAGACCTGGGGCTAGAGGAATAGCCTGCAGAGATCTCTGCATTGTACTAGCGATGCAACGATCATGGGAGCAATGCTCTGCAGGCTCCAATACAAAAAATTAAGTCATGTACATTTTGTATTTTTCAGTATAGGTGCCTTTATAATTTTTTTTTTTGCAAAAGGTGGAATATGCCTTTAATAATAATAATCTTTTTTAATATTGCAACTCAGATATCGTCCATGCTACTACAAGCAAACAGGGGATAGATCCTTTTTTCATAGCATTCCTTTAATTTATAAATTATGAACCAACGCAGAACAGAATGTTCATAACTCACCCTCACTTCTAAGCACCCCCCTGTTTCTGCAATAATCTCTCATAGGAACCAAGTTTTTGATAATCTCCTTACATATCTGATAAGTTAGATGTTGAACTCATCATGAACATACTGATGTAATAAATCTCAAGATCATCTGTACAAAAGAATTACAAAGGTTGCATGTCATACACACATTTCTAAATGAGTTTCTTTGGGGGTCAGTTACGGTAGACATCTAGTACAAAAACTCTGCAATATAGCAATGTCCTCCATATGTTTTAATACATGATGACTGTCAAGCAATTTTATGGCTTGCTTCAGGTTTGGCTAATCCTTGACTGTCACGTTCATAAATAATATAATTGCTATAGATGAACCTAATAAATAAATCACTGAAGAATCTATGAATTTCAGCAGTAATAAAAAGGGAGAATAGAGATAAAATATTAACATGTCAGAGTGTTTCTAACCTACAGACAGTAGACAAACAACTACAGACAAAACTCAATAAATTATATCATGCACCAAATCCGTTCCTTAATAGTCATCCTGGCTGTGAAAGTCTTTAAAGATAATGCTGCCAACGACCAAACTTTATTAAGACCAACATTTGCACATGTCATTCAAAAATTAACATGCTAATGTATTTATTCTTTTGCTTTGTATCCATAGAAATTGGTACATATTTGTCCAGCATATCAATATTTTTGCATTCTATGTATCCTATATTATGTATGTGAGAGTGTGCTTACCCTGTGCTTATCATTGAGAGCTGCTGTGGAATGTTAAGAAACAGTGCCCCCAGAGGTCAAATGTTGATCAGCAGCACACACAAGTTGGTTCGACTTAGCAGCATGCAATAACTTTTCAGCTATAGGAATCTCACGTTTGCCCTACAGGGCAAACACATTTTTTTTATAGTAATACATTATGCATGATAGTTAACCCTGTCATTAGCTTTTTCAGTGCTGGCAGATCACAGCAATATTAGCTACAGTAAAAGCCCTGAAGTTGTCCTCAACTTTTCGTTAATATGTATGTATGTACAGCAAGTATGTATTTATATATCTGTTCTGTCATGTCTGACTGTTGGTGATTCTATGAGCACTATGTCTGATATGCTTGAGAAGCTTTCCTTAGAATTTTTTTGGCAGGGCAGGTCACCGGGTCTTTTCATCAATCCTCCCCAACTGCTCCGCTTGGGACTGGCATGCAGAGTGTGAGAACACATGTGCAAAGCCAATCTGTACACACATACTAGGGACAATTAACCTACTTGCAGGTCTTTGGAATATGTGTGGAAACACACGCAAGCACAGGAAGTACAGCCAAACTCTAAGCAAATAGTTTCCCGATCAGGTTTTGCACCAAGGACCCCATTGCTGCAAGGTGTAAAGTTTAATCACTAATGGTGGCCATACAGGCTTCAGTTTTATTATCCAATCAATGTTTAATTTGATGAAAATTATCAAATCTGATCAAATGATCAAAGAATCAAATAGCCTAAATTTCCCCTTTCATTGATTTAGACTCAATTTAGATTTGGATTCAAGCTTAGATCAATTATTCCTATTGGAAGCGATTGGAAAATTAGTTGATCATTTATCGAAGTGTGTATGGCCACCATTAGTCACTGTGCTGCCCTTCTTTGTTGTTAAAGTATATGTAAATCCCATTACTGAAATCTCATTTTAACAAATTAACCCCTTAGTGACTGAGGGTAAAACAAATGTTAATGCCTGAACACAATTTTGCAACTTTGACATATGTTACTAAAAGGACTAATTGGTAATGGATATCTCATGATTTCTTTTTTTTTATTATAAAAGAAAAACTGGCCCAAAATAGTAAAAAAGTCTTTTTTTTTTTTAAATTTAGCTGTATATTTCTTGCTACTACCTTAACCACTTGCCTTAGCTGGCACTTTCACCCCATTCCTGCCCACGGCCAATTTTCAGCTTTCAGCGCTGTAGAACTTTGAATGACAATTGTGCGGTCATGCAACACTGTATCCATCTGAAAGTTTTATATTTTTTTTGGCACAGAAAGAGCTTTCTTTTGGTGGTATTTAATCACCACAGGGTTTTTTATTTTTTGATAAACAAATCAAAAAATAACTGCAAATTTTGAAAAAAAAAGTTTTTTTTCTTAGTTTCTGTTATAAAATTTTGTAAATGAGTAATTTTTCTCCTTCACTGATGTGCGCTAATGAGGCTGCAGTGATGGGCACTGAGAGGCTGCACTGATGGGTGGCACTGATGAGGATGCACTGGTAGGGGTGGCACTGATGGGCATTGACAGGCATCACTGGTGGGCATTGACAGAGATCACTGAAAGGCAGTACTCATATATGGCACTGATAGGCGGCCCTGATAGGCAGCACTGACTGGCACTGATAGGCAGCACTGACTGGCACTGTTAGGTGGCACTGACTGGAATAGTTAGATGGCAGTTAGGCAGCACTCATAAGCGGTACTGACTAGCACTGATAGGTGACACTGACTGTAACTGATAGGTGGCACTGAAAGGCAGCTCAGATGGGCACTGATATGTTACATTGATGTGCACTGATGGGCAATGACAGATGGCACTCATGGACACTGACAGGTGGCACTGATGGGGCTACACTGATTATCAGGGCACTGGTCATCAGTGTGAGGAGCGAAATGCTGATAACCAACATTTTCTTATTTGCATGTGATCAGCTGTGATTGGACACAGCTGATCACATGACAGAGCTGAAGTCATTGGCTCTTTTCCGCTGATCGGTGATCCGCTGTGTCCCAGGGACACCGCACCCCACTGATCGCTGTGCTGCGCGCTCCTGGGGCACACACGCGTGGTTAGAGTGGGAGGGCGTAATATGACGTCCTCCCAGAACGAGAGAACCGCCTTCATTTCCTCATATGGCGGGTGGGAGATGGATAACCTACCACCAAAGAACAACCCTTAATAAATTCTCCTGCTCCTGATGATCACAGTGATATCACCTTCTGTATGTGTACGTTAGTTGTTGTTTATACCCGTAGTATAGCTCAGAAACAATAACACAAATATTGCTTTTTATTTTTATCCTACCTAAGACATACTGACACTGATACTAATTTAAAAAATGCTTTTAAAAATCCTACTCAAAATATACTGACATTGACCTTTGACACTGCCCTTAAACCTTGACATTGATCTTTGACGCTTACTTGACCCAAACACTAACCCTAGTATTAACTTAAATCAAACCTTATATGTTTTCTTTATTTGTTTTTACACACTTTTTTTATTTACCTCTTTCTCCCTGCAAGGAAAGAGAGATACAATGTATCTCTGTCTCCATTCAGAGAGAAAGAAAACAGCTGACACTCCCGGTTCAAGGTTACCTGATTGCTGTGATAGCCTCTAATTGGCTATCACAGTGATCAGGTAACCTTGAACCGGGAGTGTCAGCTCCAGATCATTAGTACGGCACCTGGAGCTCCCGGTGAGAACTCAGTCTCTGTGCTTTGTGTGGCATGCTCCCAGCACAAAGAGAGATACACGTATATGCACTAGGTATTAGCAGGAAGGGGTTAATGTCATTTCAAAAGTCATTTTCAAACCACTCTTGTCATTTAGGCAGGTGGATAATTGGGCATTGACAAGCTTTCAGCTCCCTTCTTACTTTTAATTTGGCTATATATGGATTGGACCTTGGCTGGTTTGGCAGGGACTGGCTGAGATTCGATTCATCTATTGGCAGGCTGGCTGTATTGAAGAAAATCCATTGGTCGACTTTAGTACAACTAGCCTGTCAGTTTTTTTTGCAGGCAATTACTGCTGGTGGTTATTCCCACGAGCAGTAATCATTGTGTTCTGCTGGAAGGGAAGGCTCCCCCCTGGTAGAACACAATAACATTGTGGGAAGCATTATCCCATGAACACTGACTGTGTTGATGGGGGAATCAAACAATTTTCTTTTCTTCAACCCTCTGGTTGCAGGTAACAAAATTCCATCTAGGACTTGCCATAGAAACACTGTGACCAGGGCAGGTGCCCTTTCTGCTCCCCCCTTCCCCCTTGTCCTAGCCCTGCTTGTAACTTTCTGTGCACTAAACTGAAATCTCAAACAATGTGTTTAGCTGTCCCAGTTGCATTAAATGAACTATAACATTCCCTCTCTATGTAATAGAGATGAGGAGGTGTTTGTAGTCCAAATGACAAGAGCAGCCTAATGTGACACTGTTTTTTCATAGATACAGTACAGTGAGTGAGCACTGTCACCCTACAACAGGAAGTCTGTTACTAGAAAGATCACCAGGTGAAAATAAAGCAAAAAAAAAAAAAGCTTGAAAGAAAGGAAACTAATGCAACCACCACATCTAGGAATTGGTGAGATGCAATATATTATATTTTTGTTTTTGGTTTAGATGTGGCTTAAGTAGGGCTGCCATCATATTACCTGAAATGAAGATGACCTCTAGAAGTAGCATTTACAGTATGTATCTGTATATGTAATACAGTAATCAAAATATAAACACAAAAAAGTTAAAAGAACAAAGCCAACAATGTAAGGCAAATGCTTGAATAATAAGTAAAATGATAATACAGTATAGATGCCCTTTAAAGTAGTACTAAATGCTCCTTTTCTGTGTTGTACAGTGTTCACCGACACAAAGGCAATAGATAGCATAAATTATTTTTAAAGAATATATCCACATTTTCGTACTTGTCATGCACTCATAAATGCTTCCCTCAGTAAGTTTCAGCTGGATAGGAAATGGAGTGCTATAGCATGCACTCTAGAGGTCACATGACTGCTCACGTAAGAAGTTCATGGGGCCTAATTCCATTGGAGCACAGTGGATGTGCCCCCCCTAACTTTCAAGGCTCAATAGCCTTGCACTGGATGCAATGATGCCAAGGCACAGACCATCATCATAATGTGGGAAATAGGGATGAGCTCAAGGTTCTATCTGAACACAAGAGCAGACCTAATTTTGGCTGTTCGGACGAAATGCCTGGAAATTTACCTGTTCATCTAGAGCTGAACTTTATGTACAGCGGTATTACTACCACTATTATACATGACAACTTCTTGCTGTCAGTGGTTGTTAAGGACAACAGTGGGTGCAGGGACTGCCAAGCCCTTAACAACCAGTGACATCACCACCCCTATTCAATTGCTTGGCTGGGAATCCCTGGCCATGTAAAGGAATGGTGCTGCTGACTTCAATGGTTGTTAATGATGCTGGCTGGTGCAGACACCGCCAAGTCCTTAGCAAATAGTGATATCACTAGATACTGATTACATAGCCGGGAAACCCCCGTCCATGTATGCATAGAGGTGGGATCCCAGTGACATCATTCACCATATTTAGTCAATGACATCAGCAGAATATCCTGTCCCATTGTATATAACAGCTCGTATCCACTGGACTTACCATTCAGCAAGTGACAAGTAATAGGTTAGGACCAGTCTTGATGGCATTTTTCTTTTAATTCAGTTGGTCACTGACAGTAAACATGTGTAAGCCGGAAAATTTAGTTTTGTTTTTGGATCCATTCATTAATTGAAGAATTCATTTTTGCTTTCATTCGTTAATGGACCTATTCGTTTTCGGAATTTGTTTCATATCTTCAGCATTTGTTATGTTTCATTCGAAATAGCGCAGCTTGTTTGGAAACGGGAACACCGCATCCTTAACAACCATGACTCACCTACTGTCAGCGGGATTCCCCACTGTCAGCAGAATATGAACACAACAAGTGACAGTTTAAAAACAAATTTAAAAAAACTGGGGTCCCCCAAAACATTCCTAACAGACCCTTATGTCTGGTATAGATTTTGAGAGGAACCCCATGCCAAAAGAGGGAGGATGAGCAGGCAACATCCCCCCCTACCCATACATATGCCCTCAACATGGGGGGTTGCTTTGAGGGAGGGGGACATCCCCCTAAAGCACTTTATTCCCATGTGCATGAGGACAAGGTTCTCTTCCCCACAACCCTGGGTGGTGGTTGTGCATGTCTGTGGGAGAGGGGTTATCGGAATCAAAAAACCCCTTTAACAAGGGGTCCCTCAGATCCCAACTGCCCCCTATGTGAGTGAATAGGGGTAAAAAGTACTCCTACTCTTTCACCAAAAAAGTCTCAAAAGTAAAAAAAAAAAAACAAAAACTTCAAACACAGTTTTCTACAGATCCTTTTTTTAAAAAAAATAAAACAAAAATAGGGATGCCCCGATATCTGATGCACCTTTTTTTACCGGCAAGTATGAGTACTGATACTTTCAGTCAAGTAGAGTCCGATACCGAGTACAGTTACCTTTGTGGTGCAATTTAAGCCCATACAAAAATGAATGCACTCACTGCAAAGAACTGCATGCGATTTGAACAAGAATGCTGTGTGATTCCTGTCTGAATCGCATGCGGTTTACTGCACAGCTCCTGTGTGAACCCAGGCACGTCCTAGTGACTTTGAGCCTGAGTTCACACAGAAGTGGTACAGAAAACTGCCCTGCATTAAGTGTTCCACAAGGTCCGGCTCCTGAACCCACTGTGGACATCAGTGGCTACAGCTTGGGCTTCTCCTACCTCTCCCACGGCTCTCTCCCCCCAGCCTCCAGTGGCTCTCTATCCCCAGTTCCAGCGATTCCAGTCATCCACTCAACCCCTGCTCATCCCCCCTGGTACCGCTGTACAAGATTGCCGATCCCTGCTGTCAGACAATGAAAAACTTCTTCACAGGTTTGGGGATTTTAAATCCCTGCGGCTTTCCTCTTCTTACAGTGCTGACATGTGACAGTGCTGGCCAATCTGAAGCTGTCTAGCCCATACTATCAGCAGTGCAAGGAGAGAAGAGAAAGCCACGGGGATTCCAAATACCCCAACCTGTGAAGCAGTTAAGTTGTCTGACAGCAGGGATCAGCAATCTGGTACAGCGTACAGCGGAACCACAGGGGGGGTGTATAGTGTATAGCTGCTGGAAATGCTGGAGTCTGGAGGGAGAGAGCCGCTGAAAGCTGGGGGGAGATAGCCATGGGAGAGGCAGGAGGAGCCCAAGCAGCAGCCGCTGATGTCCAGAATGGGATCTGGAGCCAGAGCTGGTGGAACCCTTCTTGAAGGAAAGTTTCCCGCACCACCCCTGTGTGAACTCAGGCTCAAAGTCCCTATAACAAGCCTGGGTTCACACAGGAGCTGTGCAAGAAACTGCATGCAATTCAGACAGAAATCGCACAGCATTCCTGTTCAAATTGCATGCAATTCTTTGCAGTGTAATTTAAGCCTATTTATTTTGTATGGGCTCAAATAGGACTGCAAAGGTATTGGTCTCAGGATCAGAAGCATCTACACGAAGTACGAGTGCAAGAACTCGGTATTGTCACTGATACCAGTACTGGTATCAGTATCATTGCAATCCTACTAAGAAATAAATGTCCCCCCGAAGTAAATCCAACGTCAATCACAACGAACACCACCCTGCACAAAAAAAAAAAAAAAAGCCAACCACCAAACATGACATATATGACATATACCATCCTAGGACACACAAGAAAATGACAGGTAAACATTGGGGTGGGTGTCACGCAGTGATGTCACCTTCAGTCCATTTTTGGAGTTTGACCTTGCCGCATGTCTACTTGTGATTGGGCTAGTGCAGCAATGGGCAAACTGCGGCCCGCAGGCCGTATACGGCCTGGCAGACCTTTTAATCCGGCCCGCGGAGCTAGGCTCCCGCTAGGCTCCTCTCACAGTCCGCCCTGAAGACCGGTGTAGCA